ATAGATCCAAGAACCTGGGAACTGCTGGCACAGTTCCTGTAGCAACACATTGTTGATGAGACTCCAGCAGGACCCTGAGATGAGCCCAGCCCAATGCACAGTCAGGGTTGCCTGGCTGGTTTCATACCTCCCTCCCAAACCTTCTTCCCACATTGGTGACCTCACCAGCGGCCATTGGGAAATTCATCCCACTCCTGAGTCCGGTAGATGTAGCTTTTTGGCCTGGAGGCCCAGAAGATGGGCCGGACGTCTTCAACTCTCCTCTTGGGGTGGGCACTGACTGCCCAAGGCAGAGGCCGCCTGAGGGGAGAACAGGAAGTAGTAGAATGGCTTCTCTTGATTGGATTCCCCACACTAGGATTGTAGGTGGTGCCTGTCACAGCACATCTGACCTGGATGCACCTTCCCTCTGGAAAGGAGAAAGCTGATACAGCCAGGGCATCCCTGTGTCCTGAATGGCACCTCCCGCAGTTACAAGAGAGGACCTAAGAGGCTCATAGCCTGGCTAGCATACTGGGAAAGTTCCCTGCTCACCTGGGATCCTCCTTCCACAGGCCCAAACGCTTGAGAACCTCAGTGGTGGCCACCTCTCGGTTGAGGGTGTAGAAATGGAGCCCATGGACCAGGCCGCTATCCAGCAGCTCACGGCACATGGACACGGCCAACTCAACCCCGTAGTTTCGGATGGCTGCATCATTGTCCTTGATGGGCTCGATCACATCCTTGATCTCCTGTGGCACCTCCAGCTTGGACAGCTTCACCAGCTGGCGAAGGGAGTGGTAACCCTGGTGTTGGGGAAAGGCAGGGGGAGAGGAAGGTAGTCCATGACAAAGGGGTTCACAGTGGCTGTGGAAATATCTCCCTCCAGGCCCCACCCCTCCAGTGGCATAACGATCCCAGCTCAGGGGAGGGGGCTTTTTCTGGGGTCAAAATTAGGAGCTTTTAAATTGGGACTCCTGGGTTCTGTTCCCAACTTCACCCAAAATTCTCAGTGCAACTGTGGGCAGGTTACTTTATCCTCTCTGTGCCTCACTTTCCCCATTGTTACAGGAAGTGAGGGCTTGAGAGGCTCAATTCAGGTAGGAGAGGCACCAGGGGCATGCAGCCAAGAGACCTCCCTCCTATTCTACACTGTCCCGAGTGGTGGTTTTAGCCTGGAAACTCTTACCAGGAAGAGAGATGTTGTGGCTGGCTTGGTCCAGCCTGGATGTGGGTTCCGACTGACCCACTGTATAGTGAGGACCTCTGGGGAAAGGAGCAGGCTGGCAGGCGGTAGCACACTTGAGATTTGTCATCTCCACCTCAACCAGCTTGTTCCCCTAGTGAGCAAATTCCACATCCCAGCCCACCATAGCATGATGTTTGTCATCCCACCCCGCTCTCACCTGGATTGGGAAGATCCCAGGAACGACAGGGCAGGTGATACCAATGGCTTGACAGTCCTTTAGGAACTGGAGGAAGGTTTCGGACCTGAAGAAGAGCTGAGTGATGATGAAATCTGCTCCAGCACAGACTTTCTCCTTCAGATACCGCAGGTCAGCTTCATAGCTCTCTGCATCGGGGTGGCCCTTGGGATAGCCTTCAGGAAGAGCAAGGAGACTTGAGCTAGCATGTGGGGCTCCCTCTCGCCTACAGAGCACCAAGATAAGTTCTGCTAGGTGGTGAGATGTCCATGCCATTAAGGCCCCAGCCAGACCCATGCAAGCCGTTGCTTTGTGACCTGCCAAGAGGCTTGACCAATTCCCCAGTCTCAGAAGACTCCCTGCCCCCAGCCAATGCGCAACAAGACACGTTTACCTGCCACGCAGATGTCAAAGTAGTCATCGAACTCACAACGGATATGCTTCACCAAGTCAACAGCATAGTTGAATCCTTCCGTCTCCTCCTCCCACTCCTCGCCAATGGGGTCTGAGGGACGAGGGGACACGGGTCACATCAACAGTTCATCCAGCGTGAAAGGGAAGCAGAGCTAGGAGCATGGCCCACCACTAACAGGAAGGATTGTTCAGCCTCCACAGCTCTGTTCCACCAACATGCCCCTTGCCCCCACTACTTCCGAACAATATCCAGTTCAATCCTTATTTCCAACTCCAGCAATGGAAGGAGCCTCCAAACCCTGAGTGGCCCAGAAGAGAGTGCAGTGCTACAGTTAACTAACCTCAAGGGCATCAGGCACTTCCAAGGTGTAGGAGAATACAGATTCAGGCAGAGATTTATCCAGATTTATCACGGCCTCTATGTTGGCTTGTGCCAGTCACTGCCTACCTTGGAAGAGTGGTGACAGGAATGTGCCTTGGACCTAGGGGATTCTCACCTCCACGCAGCGCCATGATATTCTTCAGCCCCAAGTGCTTGGCCTTGTGTAGGTGTGCCGTGATCTCCTCTTTGGTTTGGTTGCAGCATGTCATGTGCAGGATGGTCTCAAGGCCACAGTAGTTGACCGCCGTGTTGGCAATGACCAGAGACGATGTCTCCTTATCAGAGCCTGGGTCCCCAGCTGGATGCCAGGTGACATCGATGAAGAGGGGGCCCCCCACTGCCATGCGGTCGAACCTACAGAGTGTGATGACGGATGGAGTCTGGCATGAGACCATGGGGATTGACTACCCCATATCTGGGAGTTTGTGCTTGCTGCCAGGGGGGACCAAGGCTGACAGGACATGATGAGCGCAGCATAAGAAGAGGGGCTAAAGTGAGTGACAGCAAGAGGGACCAGAAGAAATTATAAGGGGCCCCAAGGACCCAGCAGACCCACACCACTGAAGGGACAGTGTTCAAGGAAGGCAAAGGGCCCAGCCAGGGGTTGCAGGAAATCTAGGCCTGTCTTCCAGGATAAGCCCTTAATAGAGAGGAGGCTTCTCTCAGGGAGGACCTGGGGGTTGCAAGACCTAAAGGCAAGTCTAGGGTAGAGAGCATGATGGGGATTATGGAGGACCTGCCTCTTCTGCAGGGGGCCGTGACAAGGGGAAGATGAACTGAGACATCTCATACAGCTCTGGGTTTCCAAGATTGGGCTGCTGTGTGAGGCCACAACTCCCCAGCTCAGCGCCCATCACACCAGGCTGGCTTTTGGGCCTGGCTTTCTGAGCAGCATGTGGATGATGAGGGCCGAGACACGGACATCTGGTTTGTAAGCCAAACTGTTTCATCTGGGTGAAGCGTGAACAGAGACGTGCTTCACAACCAGGAGCAAGGGACAGGAAGTCTGCAGCGCCCACAACCACAGCCCTACACACAGCCCCACGCCCCAGGGAAAACAGCAGAGAGCAGCACAGTGCTGGACATCAGAGGGCTGGATGCCTTGGAAGACGCACAGGATGTGCAGGTCCAGGGACGTGGACCACACTGGTTCTAACCTCTCTCTACCTGGCAGGGGCTACTCTGTCTCAGCATGAGCAGGTAAACACCCGCTTCCCTGGCAGCCCCAGCGTGGCACTGCCAGGGGGTCCCAAAGGTGCCAAGTGCC